TCTAGTCTGCCTATTTGAAACAGTGAACCATTTAATGTTTCAGTCATGTACATTGACACTCATTTTTGTGCAGTAGTCATTTAACACATTAAACTGAGCTCATAACTATTAGCCTTTTGAGAAGTTGCTTTTGATTGTACAAAATCCATGAAACTACATACAAAAGTCCAAAGTAGTTACTTGGCTTCTAGTTCATAACTGCTTCTATCTCAAAACCATTTCAGACTTCTGGAATTAAAAGAAAATCCATACTTGTATAAGATATTAGTGGTAATGCATGATCTTTCTTTGTAGCTCTCTGTATTTGATAATGGTGTAAAAATGTACAGAATTGCTGTTGCTAACAAACTGTTGATTGCCTATAAATATTTTAATATTTTGGTTGCACACATTTGGACTGTTAATAGTGCCACTTGAATTCTTAAATGCCATTCATTGTACAGATCTCTTCAGTCTCTATGCAGCTTTCAAAATGAAGTCCCATATTGTTCAATTTGATTTCCTATGCTTTTCTATTCACAGAATTTTGCAGTATGTGACCGTAAAGGTAAACGGACAATACTGTGCAGGCTGTTTTAAGTATGCTACAGGAAACTATTCTAGCAAATTCCTTTTGTATGTTTGAGTCTTTTAAGAGTCAGTGAACACTAAAGTTAAATTCTACAGAAATGGATGGTGTAAAACTTGGGATAAGACAGATAAAATTTTGCATCAGTTCCTGCTGTCAAGATTAAATATAGAAGCATGTTGCTGCTAGCAGTTTCCTCACATTCTTACAAAGGCTTCCAGTTTGGTTTATGAAGTAAACTAGTGGTGGTTTTATGGCTTACTGTGGTGCATTATTTGTGCAAATAGGACTGAATTTACATTTTTAATCCCCCCTCCAAAAAAAAAAAAGTGAGCTGCTGGCAGCTCTGAGGCTTGCCTGGCTATGTGAACAGAAAAAGGAATCTGATTTGCACCAATGGTTTTCCTGTAGCAGCCATGGTTTGGGATAATCATGACCTAAGATAAAATAGATGTGATGGCTATTGCCAATGGAAATAGCTTTAGCTTCAGCTCCACCTGAAGTGGAAGTTTTGTTACAATAAATACCTACTTGAAAATGGATGTTTTAACACTGCAAAAGTATCAAGTGTATTGCACAGAGGCTGTTAAAATGAAAAGCATAGTTTGGTGATTTATTGCACACTAACTTTGCCCAAAGTTGGCCTATTGACAAGTCACTGTGGAGAAAATCAAAAGGAAAAATCTAGTTGGTCTGTTTATCAACTTGGTTCTCAGAAGAGAAATTTGAAGAAAAACCCCCTAATTTAAGTTGTAAACATTTTGAACTGCTTGCATGGATTTTCTTTAAAGATTGATGTAAGAATTTTGACTTTTTATATTTGAGATAAATATCAAAATAAAACCTGAACTAGTGCTGTGGGTGTCATCTTTTGGTAGGCACTAGTTTTACCAGTGATGGAAAAGTGCTGATATATAATGCTTATGCCCACCTGAAAAGGGTTTAAGGCCTACTTAAATATAGCTCCATCAAGAATCTTTATAACCTTGGTTAGCCCTCTCCATGCTCCAGTTCAGACATGGTAAATGTGGCCTAAAACTGACAGTCATGCACATGTGTTCTTGTTGTGTTCTGAATAGTCCAGGAAATAGTGTGGGTGTGCAAATGTAATTGAGAAATAAAACTCTGCTTCTACAGATCTGTGCTGTAGGAGTTGTCTAGCCACAAACCTTTTTAAACAGAACTTGGCTGAGTTAAGCTGTTTTAATTTTTCAGGTCACCTATTTAATTGCTAGGGTGTGTAAATGTTCAAGACCTCTGCTCCAGCCAGATCAGTCATATTCCTTACTCCTGTCTACTATGTAGACATTTGTTGACAAGCCAAACCAGTGCTACTGTTTAGGACTTTTGTAGGAAAAGCAGTTTTGAAGTTTCCTTTTTGTCTTTTAGTGCCAGCTTTGGAGGGCAGGTTCTCTTCCCCCATCATGGCATGTGTTCCCACTTTGAGAGAGGGAATCTTAACTAAGCTTCATACTCATTCATTCTCCCACATCCTCCCATATGATAAATGTCTCATGTAGGACACCCAGCAAACAGTGATGCTACTTTCTGAGAGAGCCATGGAGGCTAGCACCAAAACATTTCACTCTTTTCCTGCAGGAAGGCTCTAGGCTAAAAGGAATAGTGTTGGAGAACATCTAGAAAGGTCACAGCCATTTGCAGAGGCTGAGGTTCAAGCACCATGTTTGTGTACCATTCTGAAAGATGGGATCAAGGGCAGTCTGTATTTACTGTCAAAGTGCTGCTCCCAAAAAAACCCCATCCTGACAAGTGCCTTTTCCTCTTGTCTCATCTCTTCTCCCCCCATGTATGCCCTCCCATATCTCCTATAGACAGGGCTGGGAGTATGAAAGAGAGCAAGGATTGGCTGTGTATCATGCAATATTCACCTCCCTACTGCTCTCACTGTGACAAACCACTACCAGTTAATCCTGTTGCACTCAAGACTGAAGCTGGAGAACTTTTTGACATAAGTGGGTGCATATGGTGTGTGTTGGGGAAGTGTTATAGAAGAGTATATTTTAACATCTCTATCTGCTGTGTAGGTTTGAAGCTCTGACACAGGGCCTTGATTCTGGTTGACTTGTAATAAGAGCTAGTCAGAGTGGTCTTAAGCAGCTGTTGTGCCCCTTTGGTCTGCTTGGTTACATGTAACCTAAGCAAATTGGAACCCTGAGAGCATTCTAGTCTACCCTGTTTCAGTTGCTGCTGATTAAGCACAACCCCTACATACATGTGATATTTATAGCTAGGTATCTCTTAAGACATGAAGGTATATTATCTCAGTTTGGGCAGCTGGTCCTCTGCTGTAGCATTTTTTTAATTGGTATGTACTAGTGATGAGGCCTACATTTGTATTTGATTGTCTGCCTCCTAATGTAGAAAAAACAAATGGGTATCTCAACATTCCTGCTTGCCTCTGTGGTATTGCCAGAGGTGGCTTTGCTCAGCAACCCTGCAGGCACAAATTGGTCTGATGTATCTAACCTCAGCACCTAATAAAGCAGCATATAAACTAGAGGAGTAGGCCAGCAGTAGTTTTCATCTCATCCCTGACCCTAAACTACATCCTTACTTTTTTGAAGGCTGCTTCAGCAACACAATTGAAATTAGGTATACCTTAGAGGTGAGAGGCACCAATAGGTCTTAAGTGCTATCCCTGTGTAAGGATGTTATCTACCTCACAGGCATAAAGCCAGATTTCTACTATGTAGTCCCCTACTGAGTGCAGTGGAAGTGTAGAGTAGTTACTGGAGGCAGGAGAACAGCTATCATCTTCTCTAAAACTGTCAGCTGGGGCTTCTGCATTTTTTGTAGGTAAGAGGTACCATTCTGCCACATTTGTTCAAGGACATAGCTGTGTTCAGTACCTCTCACCAATGGAAGAGACAGGTACAGTCTGTCTAACCCTTGGAAAGCAGCAGGTAAGATATTAACCTGGTTACTGCAATCTCAACTACTTTTGCTATATAGCCAAGTTGTCATTTAGGACAATTTTGCCACCTGTTCCCTGGCCTTTACATAAGGGGAAATGTTTGTCAAAAGAAATGGAATCCAAGAACTGCACTACCAGTGGCTGAGGTAGTTGATTAAAAGCTATGAACACCTCAAGGGCAATGAACAAGCCTGTTGTATAATCAGTTTCTACTTGTCTAAGGGGCTAGGTTCAACTCCTACATTGTCAGTTAATGTTCCCAACATTTTTCCTTACTTATACCACCTTTGTCACCTTCAGTTAGTCAAGTCTTGCCCCAGAGGTTAGCTGCACAGAACCCCCATCTTAAGTGACCAAGCCCTTGATCTAGGGCCTGCTCCCTTCCTCCTGGTTGGAGATGCAGCAGTTGAAACCCATCAAAGAGAAGCAGTTAGCTGGGTGTGCCTGCTACTACACTGCAACATCTAAACCGGTATCAATATGCTGCATATAGTTAAACCAGCCTGCTTGTTGCACTGGGTTGTATCTGTCAGCTTAACTGTTCTGGACTATCTGCAGCCTCAGGAAGGTATAATTTTTCCACAATCTTAGAGGCAAGAAACTTTGTGTAGCAGGAATGCTTCTGCAGGTGCTGCAAACCACAACTAAAGACCCATGTGACCAATCTTCCAGTGATGTCTTATCACACAACCAACCATGTTTTCATGTCATGTGTGAACCTCTTCTTTGGGCAAAGGGTGCTTTATAAATACAAATTTGCATAGATTAATCCCTCAACTTTCTCTAATGTGAACATGTCTCCTCTAGTATCTGATGTTCTGGGGCTAGTCAAATTGACAGCTTCTTGTCAACATGCATATCTAGGTATACCAGTTTAGTTAAATCAGGTATATTATTTTCCTTTTACTAGTGCATGTTACCTGAGTAACGGTGTTTTGCTAAAATAGTTAGATGTTTAGTCCACCTCTTGCAGTCACCATATACTTTGTTTGGTCAGTGCTTAGAAAAAGTAAAGCAGCCCTCATTACTCATTCCACTCACATCCAGGCTGCTACTTACTATAGATGATGCAGCAAACAAGCAAACATCAGGAATAAAGCAATTTAGCTACTGTGTGCCACTCTTCACACAACTGCAATACTACAGAATTATTAAGTGGTCACTAGGAAAATCATGAACATTTTGATAGCATGAGTTGGATTTATACCCTGAAGTCCATTACCTGTGGTGGACTTATGCAGTTGTATTAACACCTCAGTGTTTTACAGGTGGAAGTATATATTTTTACATTAAGCAATTAAGAATGTTGGCTGGATAGTTTAATTACACTTCCAAAGCATTCAAAACTCCTATATTGTGCAAGAAACCAGAAAATAACCTTTCAAGACCAAGGAAACAGTCTAACCTTTCTCCCAGAGAGGTTTTGGACAGAATGGTTTACTTGTCTTCCCCCTACAAAGCAGCAGCAGCAAATGGAAAACAAGAGTTATGGAGGGCTTAAAAATTTGTCAAAGTTTATTTTATTTTGCACAGACATTAAAGACTATGGTCATACTACAAAAGGGACCACTTTTTGTAAAATGATGCTCAATGTATATGCAATGAATAATCACTTCCTTTTATTTCAAGTGTCTATTACATTACAGTCATGACAGGTTCTGTTTATAACATAGACATTTTATTTTAAAGTAACCCTCAACATAATTCCAAGTAGGAACACACACAAATTGAGGGAAATTTCACAACTTTTGATTTTACTATTCCATCAAGATGTTTTACAGTAACCATAATGTGTTGGAGATACGCTTTCTTGAAAGCTATAGAAGCAACACTTCACTGGTTTAGGCTACAGAAGTCATCTAATATCCAAAGACATTTAGTCTATCAGTTCTAAGTGATTTATACACAACCTCATTTCCATGTAAAATCATGGCTAAATGTTTAAAAGACAGTTCAGATTTCAGAATGTTAAATGCAAGAAAAAAGGACCTTCCAGTGTATTTCCTTGACCTAGATTAGTTATTGCAAAAAAAAAAAAAAAAAAAATTTAGGGTCTGGTTTACAATGTATGCCTTCTACCTACACAATCATCATCCATAAACTAATATGTAAAATATAGCTTCAACTCTTGTTTAGGCTTTCAGGCCAGTTAGCTCTTAGCACCAATAGCATTGAAGGAAAGCTATACATGGAAATACTATAATTCTTCTGTAAAGGTTAAAAATTCTAACTAGTACTCATGGTAAGGCAACCACATTTGTACTTGTGGCAAATTTTAATTTTAGAGGTCATGGAATGAGCATTAGATAACAGAACATAGTGGGGCATCTCTAATCAGCATTTGAAAAATTCCATTAATCTCATTTCAGATAATTCAGGCAACTATACAGATGAGCTCAGAACTTCAAACATTCTCAGATAGGAGTCAGGAAGTCAAATATATCTGCAAGCATCACTTGATGCAAGGCAGAAAACATCTGACATTCCATGTTAAGCTTCATTAAAAGCACGAGATTCAGATGTTAAGTGACTATTGTAATATAAAATTATATTTTCATAGATCCTACTTTGCTTTAATTTATTTTGGACTTGAAGTCCACACTGAAGGATTCTTACAATCAGAGTGCATATCACTGAAGTTATGCCATGAGAAGTTTTTAGAATCCACACTTGTTTTAAAAATAAGCATTTAAGGGCACGTCCTTCAAAGCAACTGAAATCTGTAGACATCTCACAGCTATTTACCCCACACATTTACATTGTCCAACAGTACTGAGAAAAAGTAGATTGGGAAGCGATTCAACACCCAACCAGTGGCCCTCTCAGCTACATTCCAGAATTAGCTCCTTCAAAACCCTGGGATGCATTGGCTTCTCTATGCACACGATGAAATTTACTGCACTCCCCTTTCCTTTACCCTGGCTTCATTGGAGGAGTACTTTTTCCATTCAATTACAGAGTATGCTAATAAAGGCATTAATTGGTAAATGTGAACAGTAATAGTATTAAAGGTTTGGGGTTTTTTTAAGTGTATCTTTAGCTAGATTTATTTTAGAAGAATTCAGAAGAGCCATCTACCATGTTAAAAATCAGTTACCGTACAATTAAGGGTACATGTATGCTCAGTTAATTAGTCACCCAAATAATGACACGCAAGAGAACTACACCAACTAAACTGCACAAATGTTCATCTCAATAACAAAAAACCTGATTTGTTAGTAACAGTAAAGAGGCCTGGCTACTCAACCTGAAGACTGAAGTTCTGCTGCAAGCCACAGACGTGAGAAACTCCATCCAATAAGGAAATCTAACTTTAAATCCATCTTTAAGTGTCTTAATCTTGTGCTGAACTAGATCATTCTGAACCAAGTTTTATAATGTTACTATGCAGTGCACTTTGAGGGACAATACCAGTTACCAGTCACTGAAAGCATTTGTATGTTGAAAATGTAACTTTAATAGATAATCTTCATCTTACATAAGAGCACAATAAATACACCACATTCTATAGAAACTCCAGATGACACTAGAATAGGAGTGTGGGAGGCAGAGAATACCAACGGGCTACATAACCATCACCGTGAATTGCAAGACATGCATTCCCACTGCAGGCTGTCATTTATACAGTTCAGACTCACCACAGAAAGCTTAGAGATCAGAAAACATTCCTGGGTTGGGGGTGGGTGGGAGCAGGGGCAACTAGAAAAAAAAAAAAGGAAAGAAAAAAGCATTTAAAGGGATATGAAGTTGAACTGAAAAGGAGATTAAAATGGGCTTCCAAGAGACATGAAAAAAAGATAAATGTAAGAGCGAGGAAGCAAGAAGCTATTATTTACTTCCTCCAAATGAATAAACCTTTGTGATATTTATCTTAATTAGGGTTATAGATAACTCAGTGGTTAAATGGGGCTAGTTGAAAGTAGTTTAGCAAATATCAACTGACTGATCAGCTGGTCTGTAACAGTTGTACTGTACACTGGTGTTTTATGCTTTTTTTGAGACATGAGTTAGAATGAAAGAGCATAGTATAATACCTGATTAATATTCAGCACAAAAACAGACAAGTCACACATTTACCTAGTTACTGCTGTCATTTGCTCTGTTAGCCTCCTGCTTTAATGATACATAACATCTTATGTATATACACGCTAAAGCATTGTCAAACCTTTCTGACTGATAAATTATACTCATCAGAGGCTCATTTTGAAAGAATCAGTTACTAATATAATTTTGTACTATCTTGGCCAATTTAGGAACACGCTGTGGCATGAGCTAGTAATACAAATCAGCAGCAACAAAAGTAATGGAATTTGCAAATTCTTCCTCTTACTATTTAATCTGTCAGACTGGAGAAGACAAATTGTTCTGTTCTGGTTTCAATTTTTTTAAATACAATTGTCACAGTAGAGAAATGAAAACCACAGCAAAATAAACTGTACAACAGCGAAGTAGAATAACAAAAAATATTTTACTAAAACATAAGATTTACAGAAGATTTTCCAGAAAAGCCATACAAAATAGTCACAAGCTTTTTCTTGAAAGGAGGTTTCTACACTTGACAGCAGAATCACAATATTATTAGTGAAGGTGATGGATGTTTAATGTTCCCATTTTTGTTCAAACAATCAGGCTTGTCCATCTACAGCATCTAAGTTAGACTTAGCTAGAGGGCATATCCTAAAGTGTAACTGGTTAGCTGCTTTAACCAATGCATTTAGCATCACCATAAAAAAGGGAAGAGGAGGAGCTCACAAAATTAAAACAAAAAACCCTGCAGCTAACCCTGACTACCTTCATTCACAGTGCTTATACTTAAGCCATGATGGAAAAAATGATTAAAAGCAGAGATATGCTACTGCTTTTAAACAGTTTCACAACAATCCAGATGATACTTCTAGCCTCTGCTCATGCGTTACAACAGTGAATTAGGACAAGACACAGATTTGCTAATGTGCATTTTATCACCAAAGGACTGAAGATGTCTGGACTTTTATTCTGTAATGTTTCTAAGACTGTGTCCATTAAATGCAAACAAAAGAAAAAAGAAAAGAGGTCTTGGCAGAATAGGAGAAGTGATGCACACTTGATGTTCAGAGCGAATTTAAATATTATTCATGGCATATAGCCGAGTCCATGCTCTGGCTGTAAAGAAAAAAAGATGCATACTCTTAAAGTGAAATAAATCTCATTTTATTCATTTCAATATACTCCATTTCCCAAACTTTTGATTAGAAGAGCTTGTTAAACAGAGGCACCTGAGTATTTTAAATTAAGCGTTATGTCACTGTTTCACAAATATAAGCATGTTAGTTGTGGAATGTTAGTCACAATCCAAGCCCACAAGATTCACAGAAACAGATGCCACTGGGAACAGATGGCCTGGCTGCAGAGGATCCTTTAATGGGAAGGTGTAATGCAGCCTGTTTATTCTATTATCTCAGAAACTACATTCTATTAGAGCCTGCAACAGAAGCAGATTTAGAGATGCTGCAGAGCTCTGTGGAACTAAACTGCAATTTATTAAAGAATCTCTCTCATGATGTACAAGGAATGGATGTAAAGTACAAAACTGAATGGTTTCTCTTTCCCAATTAAGAGTTCAGTCAAATACTCTTGTACTTTTAGCAATGTGAAATGTGCAAACTAAGTGGATCCTCAGAAAAGAAAGACCTCCACTCTGGCACTGATTCTGCACCTGCATTCAGGGCTATCAACTGCACAAGCAAACAACTGTTCTTGTGAGTCACAAGCACTAAACCGGAGGTCAGGTTTTAAAATTAAGTTCCAAAATAAAAACACATGAGTAATCTAGTTTTCATAAAATTTCACACAAATACAAAAGTAACAAGTGTGATACACTACCTGTTTCTATGGCTTGGGCTTCATTGGTCTTCCACTGCTCTGCTACATCATTTGCTAAAGGATCATCTGGATTGGGAGCACTTAGCAAAGCCTGGATTGATAGCAGAACTGTACGGATCTGCAAAGCTGGGGACCATTTATCTAAAGAGAAAGATTTACAGTAGTATGATATACCACATTCTTTATTACCACCCCCAGATTTAATATGTTTTCCTCTCAGATTAAAGCCATTTAAACCAGCCTCGTGACCAAGCTAAAATAAAAAAAGTTTGTAATCCTTTTAACAACTGAATTGTCAGTTTTCCCTGCTTAGAATGAATTAAGAGAAATGTACTTACCTTTCAAAATATCTAAACATATTCTTCCCAACTTGTCTACATTAGGGTGATAAATTTTGGTCATGAAACGTACTTTAGGAGCTGCCATTGGATATTCTTCTGGAAGGAATAGTTCAAGTTTAAATGTCCCACCCTCAAAGGGGGAATCCTGTGGACCTGCAATGACCACATGAAAATAACGTGCGTTGCTCTCATCTGGCTCTGCTTTTATCCCAGGGACTGGTTCTGCCAGCAAGCGCTGGGTTTCCTGGAGGAGGAGGAGGAGGAAGGAGTCATGGTGTAACAAAGGCAAGCTATTTAAAACACAGCAAACATTTAGACAAAATTTGTACCAGGATACCAAATATTCATTTTAAGTAGATTTATGCAAAACCATAGAAAATGACTTTTCATATTAGGTGAAGTATAAAAAGAAAACAACAACAAAAAATCACATAGGAAGAGCGAGAAATTCAGAATGGAAATTAGGCATGAGAGTAATTAATCATTGAACAATTTACCAAGCATCATGGTGGATTCTCCATCTCTGACAATTTTTAAATTAAGGTTGAATGTTGCTAGACAGGAGGTCAGACTAGATCATTACCAGGATGGATAAAAATCAATGGTTTTTAAATTTTTTTTAAAAAAAACCCACTTTTTTTTAAATTTAAATCTGATTCTTTTGATAAAATGCCTTTTGAGGGAAAAACCTATCTAAAGATAGTTTTAATTAAGATACCTTTGAGCTATAATGTATCTCATCATGAAACAGGGATTATAAATTCTAATTCTGTAGTATGACACAATATATTCATGTCATGTTTAAGAAAAGTTTTGTTAAGGAGTTCCAATAGTTCAAAGATTAGGGACCCAATCTTATGAGGTTCCACAGGCTTCTGTATAGATTATTTAGGTTAATCTTTCTATCTACTTAATAGGACCGAGTGCTCAGTCTAGAACAGGGGTGGGCAAACTTTCTGGCCACACTGGGGTGCAAAACTGTACGGAGGGCCAGGTAGGGAAGGCTGTGACTAACCAAACAGCCTGGCCCCTGCCCCCTAACCGCCCCCTCCCACTTCCTGCCCCCCTCAGAACTCCCCCCCAATCCAACCCCCGCCCTTGTCCCCTGACCTCCCCCTCCCAGGACCCCCACCCCTAACTGCCCCCCATGACTCCACCCCCATCTAACCCCCCCCACTTCCCCATCCCCTGACTGCTCTGCCCTATCCAACCGCCCCTGATCCCCATCCCCTGACCACCCCCTCCCAGGACCCCTCACCCCTGACCGCCCCGTCCCGGGGCCCCGCCCCCTATCCAACATCCACTTCTCCCTGACTGCCCCCCAGGATCCCCTGCCCCTTATCCAACCCCCCGGCCCCCTTACCATGCTGCTCAGAGCGGCATGTCTGGGAGCTGCACTGGAGGAGCTGCGCTGCCCCGCACGAGCGCGCAGACACGCTGCCCAGAGCACTGTCCACGCAGTGGCGTGGCTGCAGGGGGTCAGCAGGGGAGGGGCTGGGGGCTAGCCTCCTGGGCCAGGAGCTCAGGGGCCAGGCAGAATGGTCCCACGGGCCAGACGTGGCCCACGGGCAGTAGTTTCCCCACCTCTGGTCTAGAAGATACCATCAGAGAGGCTTAGTTTTGCAGTTCTCAAAACTGTGGATGTGTATCTCCAGAGGTAACATGCTTGTTAACAGCAAAAAATGTTTTAAAATATATACAGGTGAGAAATAAGACCTCAACTCTACTGTCCCTCTGCAAATTTGTGTACACAGAGTCAATCCCTTACCTCTCTCTAAAAGTGCAAAGTTTCGAAAAGTTCAATGAATAGAAGATTGTTGGGGGCGGAATAGATCTGGACAAGGAGAAGAAGTCTGGAGATAAATGTGAGAAGTGAAGGACATGCAATATTTTAACAAAACAAGCGTATGTTTGCTGTTGAAGAAAAAAATCCAGAATATTTAATGTAAATTGTTTTATTTAACTAAAACAACAAAATGTCTGTCTCTTGATGTTCTCCTCCTAATACAGCATGGCAAGAAAATCCTCCAAATATTAATGATTAACCTGTTGAATTGGAGATATTTATGAAGTCATTGGGAGGTGAACTATCTGCTTCAATTACCTTTGGTAAATGAAATAACCAAACAATCATTCATTTTCTAATACAGCTGTAAAACTAATCTGAAAAGTTTTCAAGATAAATCACTGTTTAAAAAATATATAGTGTGTACCTTCTAAAAACGAAAGCTACAGCTCTGAGTTGTGAAGAATACGTATTAAGGTTATAACAACCAACAAAAATGCACTTTTATGTAGAAAACCGTGGTTAAATCTAGTCTTCTTGACTAGTGATTTAAATCAAATCCACCCTGATCATTACAATGGTCCCATCTGACCTTAAAAACTGATGAACCTATGAACAGGATGGATTGCTACAGAGAACTCTCCAAGGAAAACCACACCACCATGATGTTGAGGAAAGTGCTTCCCACTCTGCACTACACAAAAATGCCTAGCAGACAAAGAATCAGAAGGAAGAGCTATTTCATATGCAATGTTCAAGTTTTCTATGTAGTAGTGCGAGGACTTGAGAATGATTCAATAAAACAAACGTCTGTGCAATGTATTCACAGCCATAAACCAAATTTAAGGTATCAGACTAAACTTGTACAATTCAATTCTTCTGCATTACTGAAAAAAGCTTTATGGGGTATATCACTTTAAAGAGAAACCCATCCTGGTGTTGAAGTATTTTTAATCTATTTCTGTTACTGTGACCAATATTGCAAACACATGCAGCATCTTTATGTTTAGAACATGAAAACCTGTGGAATCTGGAATCCCTAAGGGGTGATTAATGCGGCGGCGGGGGGGGGGGGGGGGACGGACAGAAAAAAACAAACAAAACAAAAAAAGCCTTTTGAAGCTCCCCCGGGGAGGAAAGGGCCACTGACTTGTATTACCTGTTACAGGAGATCAGAGATCAAAAGATCAAACTGATAAAGAAACAGTTATACTGTCCAGAGGAGTCTGGATCTGAAACCTGACAAACTGGTAACCAGGAGAGCAGACCAAGTTGAGGGGTTTGACAGACTGATATCTACCAGAGCCATATGTTGGACAGGGGGCGCAACGTGACCTCTGGTAAGCTTTTAGCTTGTACATAGGAACTTTTTTTTTTATGTAATGCTTTTACCCTAAAATTAAGTATTTTACTTTGTGAAGACTGCTTGATAAGTGGTAGAGAAAGATTAACCACAAATGCTGGACCACGCTCAGATCCACTGGGGGAAAAAAATCACAGTGAGGTACAAAGGGACTGCAAGCCTAAGTCCTTGATCTGAAGGAGAGAGGGTCAAAGGTGTAGTTAACCCTGAAACTGTAACTATTACCATATTTAAAATTACTGTAACTGAAATAAAGAAAAACAGCTGTTTTCTCTCTCCTTTGTGTGTTTGACTACTTCTATCTAGTCAGTTTCACTATTTCCCCTCTGAATCCTTCACAAAGCAATAAGGGAGAGAAAATTATAAAAGTAAAACAAGTTGTACAACTACAAGAATTAAAGCTTATGCAGTGCACACTACATGACGTTTATAAAAATATTTTATGTTGGGTGCCCACAAAACATAACCCCAAATACTGAAGCGCTACTACAGCTGAAAATCAGCAAGATTACAAAACAAGATGGATGTGCCTCTTTGTACTGGAGTGCAAAGTAATGTTTTGATAAAATACACTTATTAAATTAACAAAGAAACTAATAATATTTAAAAGGCTATGTTTACCATTTCAACACAGGTGTCTTTCTCAGAGCCAAAAGGGCATCCATTACTTTGAGCAGAAAAACCTCAGTTTATAGAAAAGCATCAGATCATAAAGAAAGTAAAGCACCACAATCATTAATGGCAAATAATATCAGTTTACTCATCTCATACAGTAATTAGCTGTAAAGCACTTGCCAAATAAAAATCTGCTACAAGCTATATTATAAAAAGACAAAGATAATACAAATGTTTTATTCAAAGGTCACTGTTAAAACCATTCTTGATCAGCTATGATTAAGCAGATAATACCCACAAAATGAGAAAAAACTAAATTAAGAGTCTTAAATGAAAATAGAATCGAGAAAGGAAAAAAAGCACCCAAATCACAACAGACTGTCCACACCACCAAGTTAGTAAATTAAATATATAAAAAAAGGAAAGTCCATAAAAAACGCCTGCTAGGTTATATAACACTCATGACCTTAATCTCTGGCTAAATATGTTCTATTTCACTACTACTCATTTTGTATCAACAAAGGTAGTATTCATCTTTTTCTAGAAGCAACAGTTAGCACGTTTTTTGGTATATCCACCAGTTTAAAGCTCTGAGTGATAGTAACTAGGTATAAATGGTAGGAAGCTTTTCACAGAAGTGTTCATTAAATTTCTATTTTCTTCAACTTTCATCAACAAAATTTTGCCAATCAGGTGTAGGGGAGAAAAGCTAGGCTTAGACCTCACCGACTGAAAGCACTGACTGCCTAGGGCTGCGTCATAAATTTGGTGTAAGGCTATCTATGTATTGTGCCAGGGTCGGGCCAGATGGCTACAGGAGAGTGACAGAAGGCAGATATATTAGCCCCAGGTTAAGTAGGTCCCTTTTCCCTGGGTAAGGTAACAGGGGAGGTTCCAGAACAATCAAGAACTTTCTGGAAACAATTAAGGCAGACAGGCTGATTAGAACACCTGCAGCCAATCAAGAAGCTGCTAGAATCAATTAAGGCAGGCTAATCAGGGCACCTGGGTTTAAAAAGGAGCTCACTTCAGTTTTTTAGTATGCATGCAAGGAGCTGGGAGCAAGAGGCTGAGAGTGAGAAGGCGAAGGCATACTACTGGAAGACTGAGAAGTACAAGCATCATCAGACATCAGGAGGAAGGTCCTGTGGTGAGAAGAAAGAAGGTGTTGGGAGGAGGCCATGGGGAAGTAGCCCAGGGAGTTGAAGCTGTCATGCAGCTGTTACAGGATCCACTGTAGACAGCTGCAGTTCACAGGGCCCTGGACTGGAACCCGGAGTAGAAGGTGGGCCCAGGTTCCCCCCAACTCCCTACTTGATACTGGAGGAGTTGAACTGGACTGTGGGTTCCACCAGAGGGGAAGGTCTCTGGCCTGTTCCCTGATCCGCTAGGTGGATCAGCAGAGACCGTGGGGATTGTTCTTCCTTTCCCCATGCTGGCCAGTGATGAGGCTAACTGAGTGAACGGCAGATTTGAGCCA